TGGATGCGTATCAACTTTGCTTCTTATGGTAGCAATTTTGCTTTTTATGGTTTTCTTTATGGAGAAATTTTCTTAGGTCTCAGTCTGGCAAGGACCATGAGTAGGAGTTTAATAGTCCAGGCTGTGACTCACTCCATTGTATTCAACAGCATTATTTACATGGGTGTAAAGTTAATACTTACTCTAATCTCTGCAGGATCAGTGTCTTGAAGGGATTGGTTTTCTTTGCAGCAGCCATGATAAGAAGCATTGCCACTCAGATAAGATATAGAAGTGTTTTATACCTGTCTTTGCAAAACCTAGTTTGAAAACAAAAAAGAGATGGGTGAAATAATCCACTCAGGATAAATGTAAACTTCTTTAAATACGTTTCAATTTAAAGGGATAGCTTTGATAAGTCTTGTTGGAATACTGTCCTATTTCTGTATAAATCTCTTGGCTTAAACATACCTAAATAAGAACAGCAGAATGAACAAGTCATTGAGGAAACTTAATGTAAAAATAATCTTCCTCCTACTGGTGCGTGTGCTTGTTATGTAAGGCGAAAAACAAGTTGAAGTAAACTTAAATGTTTTCTGTGTAGGTAGCTTTCAAATCACATGAAAAATGTGTTTGATTAATAACTCTGTTCTTCCTCAAGCATTTGACAACTTGCTAAGTACTTTCACTCACGTATTCCTGGAAAAAGGGGGGCTTCCTTCGGGAGAGTTCTGTAGGGTCTTTCAGTTGTTTTGAGTGAAAGAAGTGGTGGGGGTACGGATGTAATAGTATCACTGAAAAATAAGGAGCAGCAATACAGCGATATTGTCTGCATGTTACCCCTTCTGCGTATTCTCTGTCTGCGTATTCTTGAGGACAGACATTTTCCCAATGGAGGTGTTTTATTCCTCACGCATGTGTGTGACTTTTGCTGACCCTATCGCACGCTCTGCTTACACATCTAAAAGAGCACAGATTTCTTAGCAGATCCTAACTCTGTTCTTCTGTACAAAGCCTTTCATAAGGACAAACCAAATGATCCTTTCCCTTGTTTATCTTTTCCAGTTGCCTGTGTCTGGCAATTTGATTGACCTTTATGGCAACCAAAGCATGCCTCCTCCAGGACTAAACATCAGCAACTCATGTCCAGCTAATCTTCCTAATATAAAAAGGGAGCTCACAGGTAAATATGTCTAAAATACCACCTTGGAGCGATTGTATAGTTGTTTTGAATTCAGGTGATATTGGACATAATTTCTGTTCTGAGAAAGAATATATGGGTGAATAGTTACTTTTTGCTTTGCAGACTTTTTTTTAGCAGACGTATTAGCCTGCAATGCAGTTGTGTTCATGTGTGGGCATGTGTGTGTTCACTGTGACAAGTTAAGATAAAGTCCCTAGTTGTTATAGTCAAATCTGCATGTTGCAAACATTGTGTCACAGGGAGCTTCCATGCATCACTTGCAGAGCTGTTTTCTAGTTTGGGCTTTATTGTTTGCTCTATTGTAATATAAAATCTGGACACATAAATCATATAAAATGTAAAATTAGGCACTCAAGAGAGAGAATATACTTGTTTTAAAATAAAGTGAAAAGGAAATATCCTGTACATTTCTTGTCACGTCAGTTCCTGCAGCAGTGCTCTGGATAAGCCGTGGGAGGCAGGGGGAGGAAAGGGGACATTAAAAGCCATTTTCTCTCAAGCGCATGTGTACAGAAGCTAACTAGTTGGAAGGAAGAAGTACAAGTTTCATATTCTCAAGCATGTTTTATTTTTGCTGTTCTGCTTCCCTTGAAAGGATATAACCTCACGTAGGGGACAGTATACAAGGCAAGCTTGTCTGCAGGATGAACAACTGGAGACCCATTCTAGAACCAATGACAAAATCATCTCGATACCCAGAAATGGCTGTTCTTAAGCCCAACAGGGAGTCATACTCTATGCATTATGGTAGAGGCATAGTTTCTTTGTTGTCTTCCCGGGTTTCTGTTGTGAAAACTCACAGGCTGACTCAGTTGCAAAGCAGGTTCTGGGCAGAAATTAGTTTAAGTAGAGCAGTTTTAATAGCCCAGGAGTCAGCTTCTCAGGAGGAAATACCACACCTCTGAGCTGGCAGGTATTTGAATTTCTATGACTGCACAAAATTTGAGTTCAGCACGAAATGAAGACACAGAAACTGCACAATGATTTGTGGCTGCTAGGAAAAGAAGAGCTTGTACAGCGATGGAACTATGCTAAGAGGAGGATGGGAGGGGATGAGAACTACTCAAAGTTCTGCATTACAGGCAGTTTCATTGCCCCAATTATAGAAAGTTAAAGGTGGCTGTAGACTGCAAACTAAACATCCAACTTGTCAGACGTCCAGGCCGGTGAATTCATTGTGTATGACGTCAGGCAAAGAAGGCAGAAAGAGAGGGGAAATGAGTGAGTGAAGAGGTCTTTTGGAAGTCCTCAGTATGTCAAAATAGACCTGAACTAAGTTAAATGTCTATGCTACATTCACCTGTAGACAGAAACAGTTTAGGTGAGTGCCTTTTCTGTTCAAAATATATGCCAGCAGATTGCATTTAATTTAGGATAGGTTTAGGAATTAAACTCAAATTTAACAGCAGTCACTTTGACATTAACCTGGCCAAGCCTTTGTGCAGAAAGCGCTATTGATGGTGCTCTCTGACAGCCAGTGATTTTAAAATCAGCATGTTATTGCAGGCAGGAGTTTTTTGATTCTCCGTTTCCTGATTTTGCTGTTTGAGCTAGGCTGGAGAGAGCTTGCAATATTTAAATCTAGCATTTGTTAGAAACTTTTTTTCATCAAAATTATGAAGAATCCCCTCCAAAAAATCAAATCTGTTTTCCCAGCGTGTGATGTTGATGTTGGTTGTGAGTTCTCAACTGTAGTAACTGAAGCATTCAATGGGAATCCTGCTCACCCAGGAGTGCAGTTTCTATCTATTTTGGCCTTACAAACCTCGTATCTGGTTCATAAGGCAATGTCAGATTAAGCCCAAGTTTCATTAAGACATGCAACGATCTTTTGAACTTTTTTGGAGATCCTTTGGGAGCCTAGCATAGAAAAGGATATGTCTTGTTATACTACGTATAATATTGGCCTAGCTCTGTATTCTAAGCAATGAAGTAGTAAACTTCCAGTACTCCAAAGGAAACCCTTATCACCTCTTATTTTTAATTGAGTGGGACATAGTCCGTATTCCTTAAAAATAAAATAACACAGGAAAGAAACTTGTTGGAGGCAGTGAGGGGTTTTGTTTCTGTAATGGAACGTGTGATAATAGAGCATACACTCATTCCTCCTCACTTACTTACTGTGAAACTTAAATAATGCTTGCTGGTTTTGAGATTTAAAGGCAATAAAGTAAGGATTAATGACCTCACCTTTTCAAAAAATTAAAAGGGGTAGAGCGAACATGAAAATACTTAAAATTGCTTGAGAAATGTAAGATCAAATGGGAACTGAAAATAACAAATTTAGTTATGCTTTTGCCTGAACTATTATAAGCTGAAGTCCGGGGATAAATGTGGAGCAAGGTTAAGAGCAGTTCTCAGTTGAGGAGACAACTGATGTGCAGCACGGTTGTAATTACTTTTCTTTCTGCTTTTCCTGAAGCAAGGACCATTGTTTTCTAACATTATTGCTAATAAAGGTGTTGAATTTTTCATCTTTTTTTCATGTAATGAGAACAGTTAGTGTAGCTGGAAAATACAATATTTTTAATAGGTCGCATAAGTTATACCGTGAGTCTTGTGGTGATGTGCATGCACGTGCCACAAAAGGACATAACCTTAATTCCGGTGAGTAGAGCCTCTGACTCCTGGCTGCTTCACATCCTGCGCAGGTAGCAATGTAGTAAGCATGCTGTTCCTCTGGTTCAGCTTCTGAGTGGTACGTGAGCGTGCCGGCTGTATGTAAACATAGGAGAAGGTATGTTGGATTTCAGCAGTTTGTTGTCCTCAAATACCTTGCTGAATCAGGGCCTCAGTGGTAAATGATCTCGTCACGGAATTCAGTATGGGAAGTGTGGGAAGAGATGCTCCGCAGATGCAGAGGTGAAGTTTGACACCAGTGTTGTGTTTTGGCCATCACAGCTTACTGTACAGGCCCTGCTCAGTCGTTGGAAAGGGTGTAATAATTGGTTTCACAAATATCGCTCAGGCTTCCTGCACAAATGTCTTACAGCCTGAAACGTTGTTTGAATTACTTTGATTCTAATTACTTCATTCACATGCACAGCATGTATTTTTCCTACAGAGTCAGAAGCGAGAGCGTTGGCTAAGGAGAGGCAAAAGAAAGACAATCACAACTTGAGTAAGTTTTGGTTCTTTGCATTTTGCACCAATTCTAGTAATTATTTTAGACGTTAATTGTTTGAATGCTGATGTTTTAAATCTGAATGTGACACTGCATGTAGTATATAGTACCAGTTCATTGTGTTATGCCAATAGATCAAATATCTCAAATTCTTGTGAAATGTGTGCTTAAGTCTACTACTGAATTTTAAACTCTATTTTTATTTTGTTTCAATAAGCCAAGTGAATGGGTGGTTGTTATCAATGGAATTACTAGGAACAATATTTGATCCAGTCGCTTTTAACAAATTCACCTTGCACAATTTTGCCTTCTTTTTTTTAAAAAATTAATTTAAAATCTTACATATGTGGTCATTTTGTGACTTTAAACATCAGTGTACGTCCTCAGTGTGGCAATTTTATAAATTCCATTTTTGAAGGGAACACGTATTTCCGAGTTGGAAAAAAACATTTGAAAATAATGAGCATCTAATGACTTAAAGGATCCCTAAGTTGTCCTTTTATACTTTGTATTACTAGAAAAAAGGAACTGTTTCATGCCTTGACCTATTCAGAAGCCTATTCCATAGCATGAAAGGCTAATGGAGGAAAATTAGTTTTTAAGCTTGACTTTTGGATCTTCAAAATGTTGCATCTGGAAGAGTACTTTAAAAAAGAGACTATACATTTTGTCCCTTTTCCTGCTTTGGGATTTCCTTGAGCATCTAAATTTTTGTCTCTGAAGTTGTCTGTGATGCTTTTGCCCAGGAAAACATTCGCTTCTCAGTGGAGTCCTATGCTAGCACAGCCATCCTGTTTTTTAGGCTCTCAGTTTAGCTCTGATGCTTCACCAGTCTCACATTTTTACAGTATAGACAGAACTACTGTCTTAGCCTGTCCATGTCTAGGAGAGCAAAATTAATTACTCTATCACTGGATTTCAAGCTTCAGGTGAACATTTCAAAGGCACTTCAAGAAATCCTTGATGAAACACTTTATATGTTGTAATTAAGTGTGAATATTACTTGTAACATTTGTGCTGTTTTTCCTAAAGTTGAACGAAGAAGAAGATTTAATATTAATGATCGTATAAAAGAACTAGGCACTTTGATACCCAAGTCAAATGACCCGTAAGTATAATGTGCCCAAGGAGACTGTGGGAGGGAGGTGTTAAAGGAAAAAAAAAAATCTTAGGGGAGAAAAAATTTATCCAAAAAAAAAAAAATAATCCTGAGTGTTCTTGTATGGTCTTGGCACTCCATTACTCTAGAAATACTTGAAGGTTCCATTATATTTTCTGAAGATTGTTTTGGGGTTTATTTTTTCCCTTTTGGAACTTACTTGAGTTTATATTAATTTGATGATTTTTGTCACAAAAACAGTCACCATACGCTTGTGCAGCAGCCCAGCATCTGACCAGACCCTGTGCTTTGGCAGAACTGGGGTTGATGCTAGGAATGACTGCCTTACTGGAGGTAGAGTTGTCAGGATGTGAAACCTTAGTCCAGTCTCGCTGCTTAGCTGGCTGCCTGGCTGCTTGTCTTGCTAAATGATTCTTTTAATTTATTAGATCTCATAGCTTGGCAAGACAGAACCAATCCCTCTTTCTGGGAAAATGGAGGGCAGTATATCTGGGAAGCCATCATATTCCCCTTTGC